GCAATTCCCCTGGCCTTGCAGATGTTAATGGGCGACGATGATCAGAAAGAAAGAAAGAAAGAAAGAAAATAACTTTATTCGTTGCTACGCTAATACAAACACATAAAAAAAACAAACAATTAACTCAACACAAAAAATAAACAATTAATAGTAAAAAGTATTTATAAAAAGTATTTAAATTTATGTTGGATTGCAGCAACGAAAAAGGACCCGACTCAGCATTATGCTACAGCAAAGAGCCGCAGCGCTGTTATTCTGTCGGGACCACTAATCTAAAACATACGAGCAGCTGTCAGACAGATTTAATGCAAAAAAAAAAAACTAAAGATATTTTAAATGTATATGTTTATGTAATATAATATAAAGATAATATTCTGAAAAACGATAAATAATGAAAAATAAATAGATAAATATATTACTTTTAACTATGTTGGCAATAGTATATAATAGAATAATGAAAGGAATAATAATAATAAATTAAAAATATTTATACTATGTTATAGAGCTAATTCCTGGACAATGGTGTACATCATTGACCAATATGCGATTTTGTGTATTAAGTGTCTGCGCATGTGAACTATTAGTGGAAGCTGTGAAACAAGTGCTCTGATGGAGATGGATTCTCAAGATAAGCTGTTTGCATAGGCATCTTTGGATACCATCGCCAATTGTCTGCTGCCTGCTGGCTCAAGTTGCCATCAGAATCTCCCAAGGGCTGCACCATGTGACGCATCAACATGTTTTGAAGCAGTGAATTACGAAGGATAATTATACACAAAGACAAGGCTGTATGGCATAGTTCCTTTGCCTGCTCTCACGAGCGAATAACAAAAACAACAACAACAACTGCTTGTACATGTCATCTACAAAGAGAATAAGTCACTACGGTCATCTATTTCAATTTCAATTATAATATAATAGAAATTGAATTTCATTACGTACTTTATTCTTTAGAACATAGGGAACCATCAAAAATTAAAGTAAAATAATAATAGCGCAAACCACCTACCTAGTGTATCATCAACCAGTCTTTGTATTGTTACTTTGTATTTTCTTTGTTATCTAGAAGGTACAATTTATATCGCATTTTGAAATTAACCTTGGATTGAATTTCACGAAAGGGGGGTGGGAGATTATTCCAACACTTTGTTGCTAGGTAGCGAAAACTGCCGCGAAAAGCAGCCGTGACGTGTCCTGGAACAGTAAGTAAAAACTTAGCGCCACGAGTACAGTGAAAGTTATGTTCACTGGACCAGGTAAGCTTTTCATATAAATATTCGGGAGTTTTGTTTTTAATTACTCCAAATAGTAAAGTAGCAAAGTGCAATTTGAGCCTTGATGACATGTTAAGCAGTTTGCTATTTTCCAAATAAGGAGAAACATGTGCTCTCGGAGGGATATTAAAGCAAAAACGAGCACATGCATTTTGTACTCGCTGAAGGAGCTTCATTGTTTTCGCTAAGAGACAGGGTCCGTAGGCCGAAATGCAGTAATTTAGTTTAGACAAGATGAGAGTCTCACAAAGGGTTACTCTTAAATTCAAACTTAGGTAATCACGTATCTTGTAAAGTACCTTTAACCTATAAAAACAAGAACGCTCCACATCTAAAACATAACTCTCAAATTGCAACATGCCGTCTATTTTAAGGCCAAGATTGCGAGCCTCTTCTACCTGCTGAATGATTTCTCCTTCCAATAATATTCTGGGTTGACTGTCAGTTATTTTCTTAATTTGGTATCCAGATCCTAATATCATAAATTTTGTTTTAGCTGGATTGAGAATAAGCGAGTTCACTTTAGACCACTGTGCAATGCGCTCCAAGTCCTGATTAATCCTATTTATACTATCGGAAACCTCTGAAGGATGGAATGACAGATATAGCTGAAGGTCGTCAGCATACATGTGATATTTACAGTTTTTAATCACATGAATCAAATCACTGCAGTATAAAATAAACAGGAGGGGCCCTAATATGGAGCCCTGTGGAACACCCCTAGTAACAGGTAGAGGGTGTGACTGAATAGTACCTGTACCATCCGTTTTGTGCAGCTCAACAATCTGATGTCGGCCACAGAGGTAACTGTGAAACCACTTAATTGTACTATTTTCGAAGCCATAATAAGACATTTTAGAAAGGAGCATGTTAATGCTAATACTGTCAAATGCCCTGGAGTAGTCAAGGAGAACAAGAACCGTCCCCCTACCTTGATCTCTAGAAGCTAGTATATTGTCCACAACATCAACAAGTGCTGTACAAGTACTACGGCCTTTGCGGAAACCTGACTGATATTGTGGCAGAATATTATGTCTTTCCAAATATGTATAGACCTGATTATATACAACTTTTTCCAGAACTTTAGATAGATAAGGCAAGAGGCTAATGGGTCTTAATTCCTTGACACTGCTTGGGTTGGCTTTCTTTGGGATAGGCCGCACTAATGCTGTTTTCCATTGACTGGGAAAGGTAGAGCTGGTGATTGATTTATTAATGATATTAGTGATGGTATCGAGGGTGTGAGGAAGAGATAGGGTTACCATGTCTCTACTCACACCATCAATACCCTGCGCATTAGATTTTATTGCCAGAATTGTCCTAGCTACTAGGTCGCTATTCACTGGTGATAGCATGAAAGTAGTGTCACTATATCTGTGAAACTCATAATATGTGAGTTCTGACATTGATTCTTTATTGTTCTCAGGGATATCCAAGAAAAAAGAATTGATGGTACAGGGATTGTCAAAGAAAGCAGGGAGGTCACCTGTGTCCTTGAAACTTGGAACTAGTGTGTATTTAAGGTTCCTCCATAATTGCTTAGGGAATGCTATTTTGCAATTTATATGGTGTTCGAAGAAAGCTTTTTTTTCATGGAATAAGGCAGATGTTACCAAAGTTTTTAAGGACTTGTAGTGCTCTCTGTTGGACACGGATTTATCAGCAAGATACACTTTATGAGCTTTATTTCTAAGCTTCATCATAAAGCGCACATTGCTAGTAAGCCATGGGGTTGCCCTATATTTTATTTTACACTGTGTCATAGGTGCATGTAAATCAAACAGTATATTTATGTATGTGTTAAAGATCTCAATCATATCATCTACGGAAGTTGCTGAATTTATGTATTCCCATTGTAAAGAAACCAGGTCTTTGTTGAAATTATCCAAAATAATATTTTTAAATGGTCTGTAGGAGATCCATCTTGATTTAAATTTATGTTTTTTAATTTTAATCTCGGCAGATATTAATGCATGCCCACCTAGCTCTGAAATATGGTCGACGTTGACTGAGAGAGTGTTAACGTCGGTACAAATTAAATCAATTAATGATGCACTGTGGTCAGTGAAATGAGTGGGCTGTAAAACACAATTTTTTAAATTGGTAGAAGATAGGAATGCATTTAGTTTCCTTACTCTACTGTTTGATTGCAGCATGTCAACATTAAAATCCCCTAGCAGAATGCATTTATCATGATTAGAAAGAGTAACAATAGATTCTGTAATGGCATCCAAGAATGTGTCAAGATCTAACCATGGTGGGCGGTAAGCTGTGCCAATAATAAGTTTAAGGGAGTTAATATTTAAAGAGACCCACATTTGTTCCACAGATGTATTAGACAATGGATGTGGACAATTAATAGCACGTAGACCACGCCTAATATAAAAACCTACTCCACCACCCCTTGTCCGAATTGAATGGGATCTGGGAATATGTCTAAATGTATAACCCGGCAGTATGGGTGCGCTACTTTCTTCTCCCGCTCTAAGCCATGTTTCATTAATAGCTACAATATCTAGTGAACGATTCTCAACTGCTACTATAAACTCATCACTTTTAGTATTAAGAGAACCTGCATTATATAGACCAATTTTTAGATATTTAGCTTGAATCATTGGGAGTAGTAAATAATATAAATATATATTATATATTGAATGTTAGTGTACACTTGTAGCGTATTAGTGTAAATTGGAGAAAAAAGTAAAAAATTTTGAGGTTGCATAAGACTCAAAAAGAGGCTTAATAAACAAGTTGAATCTATAAATTTATAAACGAGTGCATTTGTGAGTACAAGTAATGAAAGATATATAAATGAGATTAATGATGTATATAGGCTATGTAAATTAAATAGGTTAATTTTATATAGTAGCTGCAACCCAATATAGACTGCAAGAAGCAAGGACTTTATACATTTTTCTGTTTTTAACACAGTTTCAATCATATTTAGAATAAAATCAATATATGCACTAAAATCAGTACTAGATATCGTAAAAAAGTTAAATTTGAAATATAAACAACAGTTATTTATACAATAAAAAATGCTCTTCCTCAGTAAAACATTACTTAAAATGTGACAGTTGCCATTGAGAGAGGATATTTCAACATAAATATGCAACAGTAGCATAAGTAATTTACAGAGGGTTTTATAAAACATTCGATAGGGAATCTCTTTCAACATAAGATAGTAGTAAACTTTATTTGTGAAGTATGTATATAATATATTGTTAATAAAATAAATGTTTTTGTTTGTTTCCTTCAAATCTGACCAGAACCAAAAAACCCTATTAAGGTCAGATTCGTATTTAATACGTTCGATTTGTCCGTTGTCATCTTTTCGGGCAAAAATTTTACCAGACCTGGTCCAGATAAATTTCCATTTCAGACGGCGTCCCAAATCTCGTGCCTTGGCGAAGATCTGACGATTGTAGCGAGTGAGGTGCTCATTTACATAAAAACGGCGGGCCTCACCTGCCAACCCGAAGCCCTCAGTGGTGGCGCCACGACGAACTCGCGCCGAGCGCAGCATGTCATCACGCAGCGCGCGGCGCGCAAATCGCACCACGATGCGCCTGGGGGCCGTATCACCCTCGCCGGCGGTACGGTTTCGCCGCACTGCTCCAACCCTCTCAGCAAAAACCACATCACGGTCATCCAAGGTGACACCCAGCTTCCCTGCCGCAGCCTTGACCAGGTGGATGACATTCTCCCCCCTAGCCTCGAGCACACCAGACAGCACAACATCATCATGCAACATGTCTTGGTCACGTTCATTTATTTGTGACCTAAGGTCCTGAATAATGGACTCATATGAGTGGTTTGAAGTTGAGGTCTCAACCAACTTCTTTTCAAGCAAGGTGACCCGCTCGTCGGTGCTGTCAACCCGTACGTTAAGGTTTTCCAGAGAGCTACGAAAACCTGCAATCTCCGTTCTGTAGTCCTTAAGCTCACTCCTCATAGCTGTTATTTCATTCCGGAGAAAGCGCATTTCAGCTACAAGTTCACTCAGCTCCGCCGACTTGTTGGTGGGCGTGACTTCATTATCACTGCCACAGGCTATGGTATCGGCAGTATCCCTGGTACTAACGAGAACCCTCGATTGTGCAGGTGTTACAGGGACCGACGAAATGTTGCCCTGACGCGGTGGTTTTATCTTGCAATTCGAGCACACCCAATTGCTAGGCACGCGAGTTCCTTCAGAGATCGCAACGCAACCTCGGTGGTGTATAACCTTACAGTTACAACAACCTACAGCGTCTGCCGAATTCAGGAAGCGCCCACAGGTTCCACACTTTGCCATTTCACAGTGAACTATGGTTAATATAAGTAGAGAGTTAAGCAAAATTGTTTATCAAATTGAAATAAATTAAATGTTTTATAAAGTTTAAGTTTGGGCCTTTTATTGTCTATGTGAGGGTAGATGCACACCTGAAAATAGTACTGATGTGTAAAATTCACTAAAAACTCAACAAAAAGTCCACTAAAAGTACTAAAAAGTACAGTTTTTAACTTTTAATATCACTATGTTTATATTGTAGCTATATGTCCTTCAAAACAACATCACTTTGTATTATTATCGCGCAAAAACAAGGAGATGACACTGTCCGCAACTGCCCGCGATGTGACGCTCAACGTGAGTGAACTCACTCACCATCATGTGAGCCGTATACTCGTTTGCCTATTCTTCCATAAAAATATGAATCAAATATTATACATTTCATACATTTCACTTAAAAATGTTTCCTAATGTTTATATTCAATGCATAATAATTATTAATGCCGCAATGGTCGCTACGCCAAACGCCCCGCACGCTCTTCCCTAAGATCGATCGACCAGTGGTCAGAATATATTACAGCGGATTCTGAGATCAAATTACAATCAGAGACGAAATTTATTCAAAACCAGTAATCATTAGTTTTCAAGATTCGACGGTTACAGTTACAGGCGTCTTATACCGCCATCTATCGAGATCTACCGTCATCAAGTCAAGTTCTGCCATTCCTACAATTACACAAACCTATGGTACGAAATGGGTTGATGAATTAAGGCAAGGAAATGTGTTGGCAAACTTCACATATCTTCGAAATATATTTTTTATTTCTCACATATACAGATTTTACTTCACCGAGCACGTGATTAATCAGCACCATCCACTTATTATCAAATAAACCATACGAAGGTATGAAAAATTATAATTATGTTGATGACGTTCATGTGCACTTTTGCTGATGTCCTCGATCGCAGCGACACGACTTCCGATTGTCGTAGGAAGCTGTCAACTAGACAGGAAACATTACAGAGGCTCAGTTGTATGCTCAAACACGAACACACTTATGAACACTTTCCTGTGTCCTATGTACGCTGCAATTAGTCATCAACTTAAAAAAATCAGCGATAGGATAACACATCTTAGCATATTCTGTGTGTCAGTTATTTGGACAATTTCCCATAAAATATTTTCTTAAGGTTGGCTATTCACTTTTTTAATTTTTTTCCCTGTTTGTGTATAATTAAATCTAGTTACCTTATCATGGTAGCTCAGTGGTTAACGCTCGCTGTAAATATAACAGAACGCGAGTAACCTGGGTTCGATCCCCGCCGGCACCAATGAAATTGTTAATTGCAATTTTAAGTGCTGATTTACCACGTGCTCAGCGGTGAAGGAAAACATCGTGAGGAAACCTGCATGTCTGAGGAATAAGAAAAAAAAATATTTCGAAGACATGTGAAGTTCGTCAACACGCATTTGGGCAGCGCGGCGGACACTTCCTTGCCCTAAACCCTCTCAGAAATGAGGGGAGGCCTGAGCCCAGCAGTGGGACGTATATAGGCTGTAACTTTACTTTTTACTTTACTATCTTACCTAAATAATGTTATATTGCCAGTGCCAATTTGGTTACGAAATTACCAAATAAATATCTCTTTCTTTCTAACTTTTAACACCACAGTGGCTAAACATTAGGTGTGGTCGATTCCCTCATTGAGAAAGTATTATTTTGCATACAAATTATTATTTAGGATTTGCACGTTTGGACATGAGCAAGTTATTTTATACTCCAAGGTGCATCAGAAATACACGGTTAACCGTGTAGTGGCGGTGTAAGAATATCCAAACACATATCGTCCCGTTGGTCCAATAAGAGGCGACGGAAGAAACGAACCACCAGATGAGGATCAGCGTCTTTCTAATAACAACTAAGAGCTAAAGAACTTACTCCTTTCTATAAGGCCGGCAAGGCACCTGCAATTCCCCTGGTGCTGCGGTTTATCATGGGCGGCGGTAGTCCCTTAACATCAGGTGAGCCGTATGCTCGTTTGCCCCTGCTTCTATAAAAAAAAACTAGAAAAGAAAGTACTGCGGTTGCCCACCCGCCTGCCAAGCGTGGCAACTATGGCAAATATCCACCGTACGATGCACTGGAGAGACCTTCGTTCAGCAGTGGAATTTGACTTGGTAATGAAATAATGATACCAGAAATTCCTAGTGTCGCGATAAGCCATGCTGCAGTTATATTAATAGTATAGTTGTAGCACAAATGGGTCGGCTCGACGGGGTAAGGACCACGCTCTCACAGAATACCAGCGTGAAATAATAGCTTGATGCGGCTGTGTTTCGTATGGTGAGTGTAGAGAACCGGAGACCCCTTTTACTAGAAACGAGGCATTCCGTCTTAGTCCTCACTGGTGACAACGCATCTGCATTTTTATTCGTAATCGAGGATAGATGTAGATAGATGTGTATGGGCCACAGCAACCACTTACCGTCAGGTAGACTGTGTGCTCGTTTCTCACTCTATCCTATTAAAAAAAAACTGTTTGAAAATAATAGATGGTGGCTAATGTGCTAAACATATATTTTGCGAACCGGTGTTGATGTTGATGTTCTCAAATTCTTTATTATTTTTATTTAACAAGCCTAAATTGAATCGAACAGTCTTGATTTTGACTTAGATAGGTTTTAAATTTTAAGTAGGACTAGAAAACAATAAATAATAATATTATAATAATAGCTGCTATTGAACATAAACTCCAAAATAATTGTCCTTAAAAATTAAATGGCCATAATATTATTATTTTTAATATTTCCAAACAAATTAAAATATACATCAGTTAATTATAAGAACATAATTATGTCATACTTTATATTCCCTTTCACGCCACTTCAAAATATATTTTACAACACTTCTTTATACTGGTGACCTTTTTACCGTCTGGCAAAAAATTGGGTGTAACATGTGAATGGAGTAGAAGCCTGCCGGCACTGATATTTTACAAAAAAATAAAAATAAAATTTTTGAATCAAATAAATAAAATAATTAAAATTTATCGAAATTCAAATCATATCCACCCTAACCTGCGGTCTGCGAAGTGACAAGGTCAAAGATGCCTACTAAATTTATTGTTTTATTGCCCTTCGTAAAGTATATACATATACCCTATTTTTTTCCAGACGGTAAAAAGCTCATTCTGTATAATACCCGTAAGTACTTATCAGAAGAGGATTCTCTAGACCATTTTGAAGAGTATAAGCGGGAAAGCACACCTTGGATCGAGACCGTATATACTCTAGAAAAATGTTTCATTATAAAGTAAGATCTCATCTAAGACTTTTGTGGAAAACGAGTAAATAATATAAAAAAAAATCTAATGCCACAATTTATTATGTTTCCTTTAAACTGTAGCATAACCCAAACAAATTGTGTAGGCATATTATTTTAAGCGAATGCAGAGTAAATCTCAAGCTCTAGTGCCCGCATTAAACATAAATAACAAGCCGAGTATGGAAAGTGTGCGTCAGTCTCTCCACGGGAAGTGTAAATATTGTGGAAAGTATTGTAAACTAAGTGCGAGTGGAACGGTATGTTTGTACGTTACGGTACTAGCTAATCCCTATTTATAATGCATCTTTACTAAATAAGCAATATATTTTGTGTTGTATACTTAAAAGAGTTATTCTATTTTCGTCATGAAGACAGTTTGCAGTGCGTAAGTTCTAGTATCGATCACCAGCACGGTTATATGAAAGTGTTTAAATCTAATAGTAACGTAATATTGAGAAAGTATAATATACCACACTAAATATTCTGTAGATATTTTTTATAGGAGAAGGGTGACAAACGAGCACACAGTCCACCTGATGGTAAGTGGTTGCTGTGGCCCATAGACATCTACATCTATCCTCGATTACGAATCAAAATGCAAATGCGTTGTCACCCGTGAGGATTAAGATGGAGTACCTCCTTTCCAGTAGAAAGGGCCTCCGGTTCTCTACACTTATCATACGAAACACAGCAGCGTTAAGCTACTATTTTACGATGGTATTCTGTGAGAGCGTGGACCTTCCCCGGTCAAGCCGACCCATTCGTGCTACAACTATACTACTAATATAGCTGCAGTATGGCTCTACCACGTAAAAAAGATAACATCAAACTCTATATTATCGTCCCGTGGTTCTCGTAAGAGATGGAGGAGATGGGCAGCAACGTCTTCCTAATAATAATAAAAATATAAAATCTGCGGTTGCTAATCGGCCTGCAAAGCTTGGCAACTATAACAAATAGTGTCCCTATGAGACAAACTATACGGGAGGCTGCTGTTCAATGGTAATCATAGAATATTATAATACACAATAGAATGGCTGTCAACCTTATTTTGTACGAGGATAGGCGTCGCCGGGAGCACACATACAAGCAATTACGTCGTATTATCAGTTAATCACTACTACAAACCCGATTCGCTGTGTTGACAGACGGATTTTAATACATATTAATTTGTAAATAGCGTGCAATTTGGCGTTTTTTGGTATTTTAGCGAAATTTGGTAACGATTGTAACGTCAAAATACATCTCGTGTTGACATTTATACGTGTGAATTGATGTGTTAGTGGCGTTTTAGTGGCTAAACGGGCTCCGCCCACTCCCCCGTTCTATTATGTATGTATTATAGTATTCTATGGTGGTATTACTAATGGTGACATTAAACAATATATCTTTCCTAAAATTTTGGGTAATCAACATGGAGGTTTCTTTAACCTCCAAGATAATCAATTATCATGACATCTATAAGCTCCTTATTAATAAAAAAATTATTTATGTTTCGTTCTAAAATTTGCGGCAAGGTTCGGTGTCCATATCAATCTATCTAGCAGTCTCCAAAAAAATTGGCGTAGTTATTTGAAAATTTGACATAGAGATAGTCCTAGTCCTCTTTTTTTTGCTTTGTAAGCTATGAGGTTAGGGCTTTCTATTTATATCAAAAATAGGTTGAAACAATAAAATCGATAAAAATAACAATTTCTG